CCATCACATTACTGGGAGTATTATTGCTGTGGAGCTCTGTTATACACTCAGACACATTACTGGGAGTATTATTGCTGTGGGGCTCTGTTATACACTCAGACACATTACTGGGAGTATTATTGCTGTGGAGCTCTGTTATTCTCTCAGACACATTACTGGGAGTATTATTACTGTGTAGCTCTGTTATACACTCAGACACATTACTGGGAGTATTATTGCTGTGCAGCTCTGTTATACACTCAGACACATTACTGGGAGTATTATTGCTGTGGAGCTCTGTTATACACTCAGACACATTACTGGGAGTATTATTGATGTGGGGCTCTGTTATACACTCAGACACATTACTGGGAGTATTATTACTGTGGAGCTCCATTATACACTCAGACACATCACTGGGTGTATTATTGTTGTGGAGCTCTGTTATACACTCAGACACATTACTGGGAGTATTATTACTGTGGAGCTCCATTATACACTCAGACACATTACTGGGAGTATTATTACTGTGGAGCTCTGTTATACACTCAGACACATTACTGGGAGTATTATTGCTGTGGAGCTCTGTTATACACTCAGACATATTACTGAGAGTATTATTGCTGTGGAGCTCTGTTATACACTCAGTCACATTACTGGGAGTATTATTGCTGTGGAGCTGTTATACACTCAGACACATTACTGGAAGTGTTATTGCTGTGGAGCTCTGTTATACACTCAGACACATTACTGGGAGTATTATTGCTGTGGAGCTGTTATACACTCAGACACATTACTGGAAGTGTTATTGCTGTGGAGCTCTGTTATACACTCAGACACATTACTGGGAGTATTATTGCTGTGGAGCTCTGTTATACACTCAGACATATTACTGGGAGTATTATTGCTGTGGAGCTCTGTTATACACTCAGACACATTACTGGAGTATTATTGCTGTGGAGCTCTGTTATACACTCAGACACATTACTGGAAGTGTTATTGCTGTGGAGCTCTGTTATACACTCAGACACATTACTGGAAGTATTATTACTGTGGAGCTCTGTTATACACTCAGACACATTACTGGGAGTATTATTGCTGTGGAGCTCTATTATACACTCAGACACATTACTGGGAGTATTATTACTGTGGAGCTCCATTATACACTCAGACACATTACTGGGAGTATTATTACTGTGGAGCTCCATTATACACTCAGACACATTACTGGGAGTATTATTACTGTGGAGCTCTGTTATACACTCAGACACATTACTGGGAGTATTATTGCTGTGGAGCTCTGTTATACACTCAGACATATTACTGGAAGTATTATTGCTGTGGAGCTCTGTTATACACTCAGTCACATTACTGGGAGTATTATTGCTGTGGAGCTGTTATACACTCAGACACATTACTGGAAGTGTTATTGCTGTGGAGCTCTGTTATACACTCAGACACATTACTGGGAGTATTATTGCTGTGGAGCTCTGTTATACACTCAGACATATTACAGAGAGTATTATTGCTGTGGAGCTCTGTTATACACTCAGACATATTACTGAGAGTATTATTGCTGTGGAGCTGTTATACACTCAGACACATTACTGAGAGTATTATTGCTGTGGAGCTCTGTTATAAACTCAGACACATTACTAGAAGTGTTATTACTGTGGAGCTCTGTTATACACTCAGACACATTACTGGGAGTATTATTGCTGTGGAGCTCTGTTATACACTCAGACATATTACTGAGAGTATTATTGCTGTGGAGCTGTTATACACTCAGACACATTACTGGGAGTATTATTGCTGTGGAGCTCTGTTATACACTCAGACACATTACTGGGAGTGTTATTACTGTGGAGCTCTGTTATACACTCAGACACATTACTGGGAGTATTATTGCTGTGGAGCTCTGTTATACACTCAGACACATTACTGGGAGTATTATTGCTGTGGAGCTCTGTTATACACTCAGACATATTACTGAGAGTATTATTGCTGTGGAGCTGTTATACACTCAGACACATTACTGGGAGTATTATTGCTGTGGAGCTCTGTTATACATTACTAGGAGTATTATTGCTGTGGAGCTCTGTTATACGCTCAGACACATTACTGGGAGTATTATTTCTGTGGAGCTCTGTTATACACTCAGACACATTACTGGGAGTATTATTGCTGTGGAGCTCTGTTATACACTCAGACACATTACTGGGAGTATTATTGCTGTGGAGCACTGTTATACACTCAGACACATTACTGGGAGTATTATTGCTGTGGAGCTCTGTTATACACTCAGACACATTACTGGGAGTATTATTGCAGTGGAGCTCTGTTATACACTCAGACACATTACTGGGAGTATTATTGCTGTGGAGCTCTGTTATACACTCAGACACATTACTGGGAGTATTATTGCTGTGGAGCTCTGTTATACACTCAGACACATTACTGGGAATGTTATTGCTGTGGAGCTCTGTTATACACTCAGACACATTACTGGGAGTATTATTGCAGTGGAGCTCTGTTATACACTCAGACACATTACTGGGAGTATTATTGCAGTGGAGCTCTGTTATACACTCAGACACATTACTGGGAGTATTATTGCTGTGGAGCTCTGTTATACACTCAGACACACCAACAATATGAAGCTCCTGGAAAAGTGGGACATTTGGAGAGAAAAGAGGGATCCAAGTGTCCCCAAAGAGAGACACTTGGGAGATGTGCAAGAGTGTAACGGACAGTTTTGCACACAAGAGGTTATAAACCGTTTAGGCGATATTCCCCTTTGAAATACACGAACAGCTGCTGCAAGCACCAATCTCCCGAACTGCAAAATCAAGAATACTCAAACTCCCGAACAGGAAACACACGAGTTCACCAACTCCAGAACAGGAAACACACGAGTTCACCAACTCCCGAACCGGAAACACACATATTCTGATGAACATATGAATGCTGTAAACAGCCGAATAGGAAAAAACATACGAAAAGTTAACACTCCTAGCAATCGGTCTAAAACAGCATACAATCCAATTCTCCCCAAAAACGAGACGACACTTCGTTTGAAGGTCAAGCAGAACTGATTTACTGGGGCTACCTGCCCGTCTCCCACCTGATGGACACTCCCCTAGGGGACCAGATGGGAAACTGGGACACAAAGGGTAAAAGTACCAATCACAAGCTTTCACATTTAAACAGATCCCACAATGCATTGTAATCCATCCTCTCTGTCCTGGAGATAATTGGGAAGTAATCCAATTATCTCCAAGGACAGAGGCAAAACTCCATTAGCCACATGTTAGTAAAAAGACTTAAAATTACACAGTGTTACAATTACTACATAGAACATTTACATGCAACATATCCCCAGATAGCTTAGATCTGAGCGCACATTATTACTGAATGGTGCTCAGATCACATTCATACAGTTCAATCGCCATGAAGTCTTTCCCATAGTCTTTCGGTATACGAATGGGCTCCATGGCTTAGCTATCTGGGGTAACACTGCTCACATAGGGAAAATAAAAGGTTTTTAATGCAGGGCCATAGTCCAGCGGCAAGAGGTGGGCAACCAGGCTCTTCCAGTGGCCAGTGTCGAGGTTGGTTCCACCACAAAGAGTATAACCAGCAAAGCACTGCAGTCTTCAACTGGAGGGAAAAAAAAGTATTTTATACATTGGACTCGATTTAATATTGTTGGATAAGTTTTTCCCAATTATTTTATATTTTTTGTTAACACTTTTAAAATGATTTATTATTACAAAAAATATTTTAAATGTGATTAGTTTGAATATTTTGATGGGATATTTTAATTACATATGATATATATGTTGATATTTGAAATATAATAAGAATATTACATTATTTGAAAATATTTTCCAGCAATATTTAATCAGGGCCTTTATTCCTTGCCCTTCTGTGCAAACACATGCAAACAGCACTCTATTCGGCCAAATAACACTATAACCGAAGATAAAAGAGTGATGACCTGGAACTCATAGAACAACATGACAGGTGCATAGTCGCCATATGGGCAGGGGGAGGGATATATGACTTGAACCAAACCCACCCAATAAGACACAGACACTTAGGGTTATGGGTTAAATTGTCCACATCTATAATGATAAGATAACAATAAATATATATGTAGGTCATTACCTGCCACGCCCTGTCACGAGCGTGGGCTATAGGCCCAGCCGAGACAGTGGGGAGAGTGTGGAAGTGACAGGGTTAATGACACCAGACCCCTGGTTACCTGTTGCTAGTCCCAGCAGCCACTCAATTAACCCCTGCAATCCCTTCTACACTATCCCCCTTAGTACTACTGCCACCACCAAGACTTTTAAACCCGGGCGTCTTAGGTTACCCCACACACAGGAGAATTATAGTATCACAGTTCTACTTTTACTGATAAAACATATATAGTTAACCCCTTTTGGTAACGTGTTTACCTGAGCTTTCCTCTGGAGAGTGAAGCTCATAGAGAACAGAGACACAAGCTGATTAAGTAAACATTTAATCTGACAAAAAGGATTCACAATGCTGAGTACAAAATACAGAAATAAATGACATACAGAAAACAAATTGCAAAACAGTACATAAAATAAAATAGGAGAAAACACAAGAAATTCCTTACATATATTTACCCCATATAGAATTCTTGTGGGAGTCTTAGATGGTATAGGTCTCCTAGAAGTTACTGACAAAAGAAAAATGAATAACTGACTTCCCTGGATAGTCCAACACCCTCATATATCTAAACTAGTTGTTTCTCAGTGGGCAGACCCCTGGGGGGGATCAGAGGGGGCTGGTCTGGCAGTCTATTGCCCACTCTATGAAATTCCTTGTGTCCAGCTCTGGTGATGGCTATCTAGATGTTTTATGGTCTAGGCCTGGTGCAAGATCAAAGACCACAATAAATGTCATCCCAAGGTTTACAAAAAAACAACTCTTAACATATATAAACACACATCAAACACCAACTCATGCTTTTGGCATGACACCTCCCCCTTAAGATGGTGGACAGAAAAATTCAGCCACAGGCTGATTTATCTGTCTACCATTAACCCTCTAGTTGCCGAGACAGGCCATCTGCATTCCCATGCAAGCTGCCCTTTTTGTGCTGGGCAGTGAAATTATACTGTTGGAGGATAGGGCTCCAATGGAGCAGTTTATCATTGTTACCTGTCACCTGCAGCAGGTTGTGATCAGTCCATACCACAGCTACCCCCTCAACAAACATGCCTGATTTGCCTGTTTCAATTTTCCATCGATCTATGGTAACATCCCTTAAACCACACCCACTGCGCTCATGTAGTAGCTGTAAAGGGAAGAAACCAATGGATTTCTGCAGCACTCCCCGGTAAGCACACAAAAAAGCAGACAGAGAACACTCCCAGGATAGTTGTGCTGTATCAACACCCATCATCTCTTTCATTTTGCGGTCTGTCTGCTGGGCTTGTTGCACTATCAGACTCTGAACCTTTGGTTCACAATCAGAAAGTTGCTTAGGTGTATGCGTGAGTTGTGATAAACTGACAAGGTTCCTGGTTCCCCCAACAGTATGTTTCCCTGCAGCCATCCTTCCTGGACCCACAGGCTGAGTCTGTCTGTGCCCCTCACTTTCACTCCGGGTCATCACACATACCGAACTTTGGAAACTGGCTAAGTCTGGCGCAGAGTAAAGCTCACACACCCTCTGCCCTCCCTCATAGCCTCGCTGTCCCTTCACATTTTCACCCACCACATCACATACATCTGCTTCAGGCACATATTGGCACATATATTCATTCAGCCCCCTCTCGCTGGAAGGCTTTTCCCATACATTTTCACAGGACACATTTGACCCCCCTTGATCAGATACAGAATTTTGCACACACTCGCATAATTTCTTCTCCAAGGCAGGCCATCCTCTCGCAATCTCACATAGCCCCTCAGACTCTGCAGCCGTGACCCACTGCTGACTTGTTACCACTGCTGACTTGTTACCCTGGCTCTCACCTTCCTCCTCTCCCTTACTCTCTGACATCCCAGCCTCACAGTATTTTAATACAGGCACATCACTACTCACCCCTATCTCACATTTGGTAGACATCACTGGTTCAGTTACAGGTAGATCTTTATCCACACCCTGCTCTCCCTCCCAGCAATCACACTTCACAATGTCTCCCAAAGTTTCACACAATACCTTAGGTGGAGCAGTCAGCCCTTCTGGCTCACAAACAGTGTCCGCTGGAGCATAGTGACAGAGCATCCTGCCCAAATCATTCCCCAACAGAACATTAACAGGGATATCCTCTGAAATCCCCACTTCCCGCAAACCTTTGCCCGCACCCCAATCAAGGTACACACGTGCCAAGGGCACAGCGGGGCATACCCCCCCAATTCCTTTGATGGACATGGTTCTTCCAGGGATTATGTCCTCCGTATTCACCACTTCAGGTCACACCAGGGTGAAGGAAGCTCCAGAATCTCTCAGTCCCATGGTCACTCGGTCACCCACAATTACACTCTGCAGGTTATCCTCTTGTTTCCCCGAGGACCCACCCACAAGCAATACTGATGGTGCCCCTCCACGGACTGGTGAGGGCATATTCCTAGTGGGGCAAGTCCTGCTCAGATGACCAATCTGGTTGCATCGAAAACAATGGCGGGCATCTGACTCACTTGACATAGCACCGGCTACGCTGGCAGTCGGCGGTGAAGTTCTCACTGCAGATCTTACAGGTGGTGTTTGAACTGTAGCTTCTCTCCAGGTCGAAGTAGCAGCTGACACAAGTCCACGCCTGGATGTGGGTGCATGGATGTCGGCATAGTCATCTGCCAGTTCTGCAGCAGCCCTAGCATTTTTTGGCTTTCTTTCCAAAATCCACTCTCGTACATTAGGGCTCCGGGTCTGCAAGAACTGCTCCAGGACCATTAAGTCATTAAGGGCTTCATAGGTAGTAGCTTGTACTCCTGTTACCCATTGCCGGAACGTGGTTTCTAATTGTGCAATATATAGAATGCAGCTGGATGATGGGCATTGCTGCATACTCCTAAACTTTTTCCTGTAAGACTCAGGAGTAAGGTTAAAAGTTTTTTGCAATGCAGATTTGATTGCCTCATAGTTGTTATCAGTCTCTGGGGGAAGGGACACAAACACATCCAAGGCTTTCCCTTTCAGTTGTGGAGTTAAATATCTGCCCCACTGGTCTGAGGGTAGTTGATGCTGCCTGCATACTTTCTCAAAACTTTTTAAAAATACATCCAAATCTGTCCCTTCTTCGAGGGAAGGAAAATCATCCTTACGGAGCCTACGTGTGCTGGACTCTGATGCATTGCTGTTCAGTGAGGACTGAAGGGTAAATTGCAGTTTAGCAAGTTCCAGCTCATGTCTCCTTTGTGCCTCCCTTTCGGCTAGCCTCTCTGCAGATTCCCTTTCTGCAGCCTGCTGTTGGATCATCACATGCAGGGCCTCCTGAGGATTTGCAGCCATCAGTTGCCGAAATAAATCAGTTGAGCAAATGTCCTTAATGTTTTGAGGGGTACAACCACCAGGCATTTCAGTAAGCAACACTCCTGCAGTAGTAGGGAGCTCGGTAACCCTTTCAGTGTCCGTCTCTGGCTGGAAAATATGGCTGTCAGCCTCCACAAGGTCAGCAATAAGTTGTGCCTTATTTTTGCCAAAAGTTGGTAAATTCTTTTCTTGGCACAACAATTCCAAGGCCTCTTTTGATTGTTTGCGATAGGCCTCCATATTCACAAATAGGATAGAGAAAGAAAAACAAAAGATGGGAGGGGAGAACTGTTTTGCACTTTGTATGTATTTTAAATCAGCACTGAGCTTGGTCTTTGGAAATTACACAAAAACAAGTATGCAATTTCTTTTAGTGCTAAGACCCCCTTTACAGGTAAAATCTAGCAAGCACTAAAAATCTCTAAATATATCCCACTAGCTGCCGCCAGTTTGTCACGTGCGTGGGCTATAGGCCCAGCCGAGACAGTGGGGAGAGTGTGGAAGTGACAGGGTTAATGACACCAGACCCCTGGTTACCTGTTGCTAGTCCCAGCAACCACTCAATTAACCCCTGCAATCCCTTCTACACTATCCCCCTTAGTACTACTGCCACCACCAAGACTTTTAAACCCGGGCGTCTTAGGTTACCCCACACACAGGAGAATTATAGTATCACAGTTCTACTTTTACTGATAAAACATATATAGTTAACCCCTTTTGGTAACGTGTTTACCTGAGCTTTCCTCTGGAGAGTGAAGCTCATAGAGAACAGAGACACAAGCTGATTAAGTAAACATTTAATCTGACAAAAAGGATTCACAGTGCTGAGTACAAAATACAGAAATAAATGACATACAGAAAACAAATTGCAAAACAGTACATAAAATAAAATAGGAGAAAACACAAGAAATTCCTTACATATATTTACCCCATATAGAATTCTTGTGGGAGTCTTAGATGGTATAGGTCTCCTAGAAGTTACTGACAAAAGAAAAATGAATAACTGACTTCCCTGGATAGTCCAACACCCTCATATATCTAAACTAGTTGTTTCTCAGTGGGCAGACCCCTGGGGGGGGATCAGAGGGGGCTGGTCTGGCAGTCTATTGCCCACTCTATGAAATTCCTTGTGTCCAGCTCTGGTGATGGCTATCTAGATGTTTTATGGTCTAGGCCTGGTGCAAGATCAAAGACCACAATAAATGTCATCCCAAGGTTTACAAAAAAACAACTCTTAACATATATAAACACACATCAAACACCAACTCATGCTTTTGGCATGACACGCCCCATCTCTCGCATCATCTTTACATCAAGGTATTGACCCACCACATAATACATTTCCAATATACAATCATGATATAATATATAACATGTAACATATCAACATTGTTCAATTTCCTGGTAGGGGTATACCCAGATACCCCTACACCACCAAGGTTCTGAACCACCAATGGATTTGAAATACCACGAGGTTCTGAGCCACCAAAGGACTTGGAATACCACCGAGGTTCCGAGCCACCAACGGACTTGAAATCTACCAAAACATGTACACACAGTGTACCCTTTTAACCAATCAACTAACTAGTTAACTAACTCCCCTTAACTAAACCATGTTCCTTACACAACCCTGCCGCTGTGACAAAGCGGGGAAAATAACAAAGGGAGGGAGGGAGGGGCCAACTCTGCTAGGTAAGAAATTAGAGTGAGGGATCATAAAATGGCTGATTATTTATATCAGCCAACCCCAAAGCTCTGCTCTACCAATCCCCTGCTGCTCCCACCCCCTAGCCCGCCGCCTAGCTCTGTCAGGGCCCTATTCCCTAAGCTGTGCTTTCTCCATGGGCTTCAGGTATGTCGAAGATTTCATAGCTTTCAAAAATGTATCATATATCCAATAGGGCAAATCATATTTAGAACATAATCTTGCATGTTATACAAGCCTTGCTCATAGAACCTTAAATATTCTATTTTCATCAATATATAATTTAAATACAAATTAGCATACAAATCATGTAATTTAAAAAATAGAAACTGGTGCATTAGGGTTTGAAGAAACTAATGCCATATCTGGGTTCTGAAGGTACCCATAAAACCTGTTTTGCTTCCTGTTTAATTAGTTCTGAATCTCTTGGCAGTATTTTATTCCCACAATAACCAGGTCACCATTGGGTAACCTCTGTATAATACAAAGGGATCTTGGGAATGTAGAATAGTGATTGAATGTTTAGAAATGTAACAAATAAATATCATGAACTTATTGATGGCAGAGTTTTATTGCCTTTAGAAAGAATAAAACACGGACTAAATCTACATACAGCAAGTCTTAAACTACAGCTCCGTGAAAAGAATATTCTTTTAACAAACCGAGAAGTCAAGGGCAGCTCAGAACATCATGCTCCACTAATTTATAACAGCACATAAGCCAAGCAGCTGCCTTTTACTATCCCATAATCACCTGGAAAGTTTTGCATGTAGGTAAATTTGAGCAATCTCTCTGACAAGTCCCCACTGAACAGGCTTTGAATATTATATGCAAAGTGTACAATACAGTTAGCATCCACAACATTTCAAACTCATTAAAATGAACAGGAGGGATCGAGCACAACTACAAAGACATATAAAATAATGGAAGTGTAAACGGTACAGCATCTTCAGAATAAGTCATAATGTAGACTGAAAGTTTATAGTATTGTCTGGGAACATTCAAATGTCACAACAATAAGGTAAATACAAGCACACACACACACAAACACAGCCATGTATTCAGGCATTTATAAACACTACTACACATACAAACACAACACACACACAAGCACACACAAACATAGACATGTATTCATGTATTTATAAACACTACTACACATGCAAACACGACACACACACACAAGCACACACACACACACACACACATAGATATGTATTCAGGCATTTACAAACACACCACATACACACACTCACTATATATGTGTGTATATGCACATTTTTTGGTAATCATATTTGTATAGTCAAGCTTTTTGTATCAGTTTGGTACAGGCGCTCGGGTAGCCCATGGAGCAACGCAGTATGGGGAGTGGGCCTTGACAGAGCCAGGGAGTGGGCATGGGCTTAAGTTTGTGGGAAGGGTTTTGGGAGTGATGTTTTGGGGGGTGGAGAGTAGGGATATATAGAGCGGCCATATTAGAATAGGGGCCATTTTAACTGGAGCCTCTCTTACCTGTAGATTGTTGCAGGCCAGAGAGGTTCCCCCCTTTTTTCTTTGTTTCCCTGCAGGTCGATGGCGGCGTTGGAGGAGCTTCTGGAGGGAGTGCGGGCGGCCGTGAGGGACCGTGGCCTCGAATGGCTACATCAGCAGCTGGGGGCCGCCGGGCCTTCCGCATCGGTACCGGCGCGTCGACCGGCCAGGAGGACGAGGCCGCCGCAGCGGCTGAGCCCGGGTGCTGGGCCCGCGGCGAGACGCCGTAGAAGCCCTTCTGAGGGAGGTGGAACGTCCGCGGGGGCAGGAGAGGTCCCGGTCGTGGAGCCGGGAAGGAGCACGGCTCGGGCCGGCAGGCGCGGCTGCGGTCTGGCGAGGACGGCCGTAAAGCACCCGGCGGCTGGACGACGCACGCCGCGTGGGTCGGCGGCAGGCAGGGGAGATGGAGTGGTGGCTGCCAATTCGGCGGCCGGGTCGGCGGCCAGGACGGAGGACGGTCACGTGGGCGGGATCACAGAGCTGGAACGTCCCGGTGAGTCAGCCACCAGTGGCACCGCTGTGGGGCAGGAGAATGTGGTTATGGGGAGTGTGGAGACAAGAGCAGCCCCCCATGGGTCTGGGGGAGGCTGGGGCGGCGAGGTCAGCGCAGGGACGGCCCAGGCAGGGGTCAGGAGGGAGGATGTCGGTGGTGGTTTTAGTGCGCAGGAGACGGCTGGATCAGGGCGCACGGCGATCAGCCAGGGACAGGATTCTTTAACGGGAAGGACGGCTAGAGGGAAGCCAGGCGCAACAGCAGTGGGAGACAGACGTAGACCCACCCTGGAGGGAGGTGACAGGGGTGGTGGCAGCAGGCGGGAGGGTCCTTCTGGCTGCTCCCAGGGTCAGCATATGGACGGAGAGGACGCAAGGAGTGAGAGGAGAACGGAACGGCGCAGCATGAGCGCCAGGCGCAGCAGCACGAGGAGCAGAGCAGGGAGTCGAGGAAGCGGGGAGAGGTCACCAGTGCGGAGCAGATGCAGCGCAGCTAGGTCCTGTTGCAGGGAAGGCTGTGGGAGGTCCCTGTCTAGGGATAGAAGGCAGAGGAGTCGACGTAGCACGTCTGATTCACCAGACAGGAGAGTACAGGTTCACTCAAGGGGAGCGGATTACAGGGGGAGTCGTTTTGCAAGGCAGCTGGAACGTGGGGAGGAAGGGCGGGTAGACCCTACGCTGAACAGACTACCCAGGTTTTCTTCTCCCTGCAGGTCACGGAGCAATACCCCTACGGTCTCGAGGCGGGACCAGGCGGATGGGAGTCGGCGACAACACAACACTCCGGCTCCCGGAATGGTGGGCGGAAGGACGACGCCCCTGCAGTCAGCTGCGGCCAGGGGCTTGAGCGGTGAGTCAACACATGCACGACACTCTGGACAGTTGTTGAATGATTTG